GGTTGCGGAGGAGCCATCGGTGTAGAGGGTCCACCAGTCGTCCGAGGTAGCCGAGGGCTCCGCGTCCGTGGCTGCCCTTGCGGTACACTCCGTCACAAAGTCCGCCAGGGCTTGGCCCTTGATGGGAGGCCTCGGACGGATGTCAATGTTGTACTGGCTCAAGAAGATAGCCCATTTCACCATGCGGGAGGAGCTGGTGGGGCTCCTCATGAGGGCGCCGAGGGGTTGATGAGTGAGGACCTGAATCGGGTGAGCCTGAAAGTAGTGGCCCAACTTCTTGACGGTCCAAACGATGGCTAACACCGTTTTTTCCACAGGGGAGTACCTGAGCTCGGCCTCCCTCAGGGTCTTGCTTACATAGAAGATGGCATGTTGGATGTCGTCTTCCTCCCGGATGAGCACAGAGCTGATGGCTGTCGGGCTGACCCCAAGGTAGAGGTAGAGGGTCTCCCCTACCTTTGGTTTGGAGAGCACAGGGGGTGAAGATAGGTACCGTTTGAGCTCGTCGAAAGCCTCCTGGCATTCTGAAGTCCATTGAAAGCCAGCCGTCTTCCTCATGATCTGGAAGAAGGGTAAAGACTTCTCCGCTGATTTAGATAGAAAGCGGTTGAGGGCTGCCAGGCGGCACGTCAACCGTTGAACTTCCTTCACATTGCGTGGGGGCTCCATGTTGATGATGGCCCGGATCTTCTCGGGATTGGCCTCAATACCCCTTCGGCTCACCATGTAGCCTAAGAATTTGCCCCCTTGGACGCCGAAGGTGCACTTCTTCGGGTTTAGCCGAAGGTTGAACTTTTGCATGATGACGAAGATTTTCCAGAGGTCGTCGGCATGGCTGGAAGATTGTTTGCTTTTGACGATCATGTCGTCAACATAGGCCTCCATGGTGCGCCCTAGGACGGCTTGAAAGACTCGGGCCACCATCCGGGTGTAAGTGGCCCCTGAGTTCTTTAGACCGAAGGCCATCACTAGGTAGCAGAAGATGCCCTCGGGAGTCATGAAGGCTGTTTTTTCGTCGTCTTCCTCATGCATGAAGATCTGATGATACCCGCGGAATGCGTCGAGGAATGACATGATTTCACACCCCCGCGGTCTCATCTACAAGTTGATCGATATTGGGCAAAGGAAAAGGGTCCATAGGACACGCCTTGTTGAGATCCGTGTAGTCCACGCACATGTGGAAGGTAAGAGGCTTCTGTGCGAGGACTACGTTCGCCAACCATGAGGGGTATTTTACCTCCTTGATGTGCTTAATAGAAAGGAGCATGGCGATCTCCTTCTTCACAAATTCCCTCCTCTCGGCGGAGAGGGCCTTCTTCGTTGCTGTATTGCTTTTGCCGAGGGGTCCACCGAGAGGCGGTGGGTGATGACCCTTCGGCTTATTCCCGGCATGTCCTCCGGCCCCCATGCAAAGACAATGGAGTGGGCGCGGAGGACGTCGATGATACCGGTCTTCAGATCTTCCGGGAGCCGGGCTCCAATCTTCACGACTCTCTCCGGCTTGGCCGGATCGAGCGCAAAGTCCTCTACGTCCTCGGCGGGTTTAGCCCTCGGCCTCTTTTCTTCTTCGTCGATGGTTCCGGTGATGGTGTCAACACGGAATTCCATCTTACTCACCCTCTTCGTGACTTGAAGATAGCAAGCGCGGGCAATTTTCTGATTCCCCCGGGAGTAGCCAATGCCCCCCTCGACGGGGAACTTGAGGCAGAGGTGCCTCATGGAGATGACGGCCTCGGGGTCCTCGAGGGCTGGCCGGACGAGGATGATGTTGTGGGCGCAGTCGATGTTGACGACGACGAACTCCACTTCGAGCTGGGCTCTATGGAACCCGTCGCCGAAGATTACCGGGAGGGTTATTACCCCCTCGGAATCAATAGTATCGCCGGTAAAACCGGCAAGAGGGGTCTTAATGGGCCGAAGGGACCCCCTCTCCAGATGCAGCTCTCTAAAGGTGCTGAGGTACATTACGTTGACGGAGCTGCCCGTGTCAATGTAAGTTCGGTGAATGATGGTGTTGTTTATTTCAGTCCGAATCACCAAGGCATCCCTGTGAGGAGAAGAAGTAGGAGGGAGATCTGCGTTGGTGAAGGTGATGGGTTCCTCCCTCAGCCGCTTTACCGGGGGCATATGAGTGACTTCCCCCACGTAAAGCGATTGAGCCCACTTTTTCCGCTGGCTGGTGGAATCGCCCCCTGTATTGCCACCGGTGATCATGAGGATGTGGCGTTTTTTCTCCTGGTAGTGGGGGTACTCCTCCTCTTCCTCCTCCAAGTTTCCGATCTCCCTCTTCTTGCCGAGGGGGATGGTGTTCGGGTTCACCCAAGCGTTCACCTTCGTGTGGTGCCCTCGGGGAGGTCCCTGATGAGAAGGTCCCTCCTGCCGAGGGTTCTGGATAAATTGGGACAGATGGCCTGCTTGTATCAATCTCTCGATGGCCGTCTTTAGCTGATGGCAGTCATCGGTTCTGTGCCCCTGATGCCGATGGAAACGGCAGTAGGGGAACTGAGGGTTGATAGCATGTACCTCCGGGGGTGCGCGGGAATCGCGCTCAACGAGGCCCCTCTCCTCGGCAAAATCAAGGATGATGCTGACGGGGTGCGTTAGTGGTGTCCGGGGGCGGTCCAGAAGAATGGGTTGTGCCCAAGTCTTGGGGTTGTTCTTATAACCTCCCCCGGGCTTGGCTCGGCCTTGCCGAGGGCGGTCATCAGAGGGTCCTGAAGCCCTGGGTTGATTTGGAGGAGCCCCCGGCCCCCGGTTGTTCTTGTTGTCAGCCTTCGGGGGTTGCTGATCTGGATGCCGGTGGTATTTCTCCACCTCCTCGGCCTCGGCATATCGGTCCCCCCCGCTGCAGGGCCCTTATGTAGTCGCGGGGGGTTCAATGATGAGGCTCCTTGAAAAGTTGCCGGTGCGGAGGACGGTTTGTAGGAGGGCCAGGAGGGTCCGGTCGTCAGCACCGTCGACTTTGTCGGCTTCCGTTCTCCAGCGTTCCAGGAAGTCCCGAAGGGTCTCATCCCTCCTCTGGCGTATGGTTAGGAGGTGGGAGAAATGCTTCCTCGTGCGACGCCTCCCGGCAAATTGCGTCAAGAATCGCTGGGCGAGTTCTTGCCACGAATCAATGCAGCCTTCGGGCAACCGGTTGAACCATTCGTATGCCGGCCCCTCTAAGGTGGAGAGGAACCAACGACACAAATATTCGTCCGACGCCCCTACCATCATCATGATGTTCTGATATTTGCTGTAGTGCTCCTGGGGGTCCGTCTTCCCGTTGTAAGGTTGTATGTGTTGCCCTCGGTATTTTTCCGGGATCCTGGCCGCCAATACCCTTGGGGTAAATGGCGTCCGGGTCCGGAGCTGGATGATGGGCTCCCCGGAGCCCTCGGCTACCTTCTTCTGCAATTCTTCCATTTTGGCCATCATGGCCTCGTACTTAAGGTCTGAATGAGGGGTGGAGGTGGTGGCGTGAGCTTTGTTGGCCTCCATTTCATCAAGTCGGCGTTGGAGGGCCGCAATAATTTCGTCCCAGGGATCCTTCGGGAGGGCCTCCGCCCCCTGCGAACGAACCCAAGCCGAGTGGGCCTGGTTGATTTGGTGGCGAGCATCGTCGGCATGAAGGGGTGCCTTACCTTTGTCCCGAGGAGGACGCTCCTCGTCTGCCCTCGAGACAGACCCTCCACTTTCCTGGGGCCTTTGGAGTGCCTTTCCTCCGAGGCGGTCTTGGACCCCTCGGCGGTCTTGCACCCCTCCGAGCCGGTTGAGGGCGGAAGTGCAGGGCCTTTCCCTGTTGTCATTGTGGCGGTCCCGGGACTGAACTTCCTGGGAGGCCGTATCTTGGGCCACTACCCCTTCGTCATTCCCAATCCGAGGGATGGGGTTCCCGGAGGGGTGTGGCAGAGGGGGAAGCATGATGTTCTCCCCAACCCGGGGTTGAGCCGGAGCCAGGGTGCCGAAGGCGCCCGGGTTCTGAGTGAGCGTCTGGATGAAGGCGGAGAGCGCCGAATGAACGTCGATGGTGAGGACCGGAGGGCTGACTTGGTCATCGCTCCGGTTCTTCTTCCTGGCCTTGATGCCGAGGCGGACATCGGGGGTATTCTGCTGGATCTGAAGGCGTAGGTCGACAGCCGCCTGTTCCAGCTCAGCGATGACACCGCCCTCGGGAGCCCTGTGAGAGGCTTCGGGGGCGTTGACGTCACCGAGGGCCAGGTTCTTGTCTTCGACGTTTTTGGAGCTGGCACGTGTTGTTCTCACCATTTTGGTAGAGGGCTAGTGTTTGGCGAAGGGGGAGGGTTTCTTACTTGATTGTTCGAACTCTCAACGAGAGCACCAAATGATGGATAGCGTACCCGGGGGGTAGCTTATCCGAGGGGTTATTACGAGGAGTAATAGGAGAGAAGTCAGAGCAAGTGAATATAGAGAGAGAAAGTATATTGCAAAGTGTGGAGCGTTTTCAGCGTGTTATGACTTGGTTACAAACGGGGAAATGGGGTGCTATTTATAGTAGTAATAAATGCCGGACAGGGACACGTGTCAAGCGTCCATTGGCCGAGAGGTCACCTCAACTGGTTGGCGCTGGCAGCCGCATGTGGCCGCACTTAATGCGGCTGTTGGATGGGACGTTGTACAGGGTACGGTGATTTGTACGCATGTGGTGCGGATATTATGTCGGGAGAGGTGCCCTCGGCTGCAGAGGACTAGCCGAGGGCTCTGAGTGTCGGGGACCCCCTGGGTGCCGAGGGCTCCAGGTGCCGAGGGCTACTGTTTTCTGCCGTTTTTCTCCCAGATTCTTAATTTGCTTGAAAACCCCGTTCTGTGAGAGTTTTGAGCCTTCGGCCAGGGGCCGAAGGCTCCCCAGTGCGCGCTGTGGGCTGCTAAGTGCTTGGGGGCGCCGTAATTTGGGTCTGTTGTGCTTCCTAGGCCGATTGGGCCTTTATTGGTGTAGTAGGAGTCTGTGGGCCGGGGGTTCCCGGGCCATATACTCCATCAATGATCTATTACTTTGTTAAAAATTATACTCCGTATTAATTTATACAACATGAAATTACTCTTAAACTGCATGTTATAACAGATAATTTGTATTCTTTGACAAAATCTTTCAATTTATCTTGAAGATTGAAGTGTAAATGGAACGAGTACAATACAAAGCTAGAGTTGTCAAACAATGTTACCCAGAGTAGGGATTGTGTCCTACACTTTAATGGCACATTTTCGTAGTAGGAAGTAAATTTCCTTCTCTCTGTCTTCAAAGAGGCCTTTTATAAATGAAACAAAGAAAGTATGTCAAACATTGAATTGCATATATCTGTGCCTTATTAAAGACATAGTTTAGACTTTTACCAAACAAAAAGCGACATAGTTTAGACAGATCGTCACTTGTATAAATAAAATATTATACATTTAACACTTGTATAGTTGCATCTGTTCAAAAAAAAAACCAGACCAGATATTTGACCTAGTCAGGGCAATGGGGGATGGGTAGGGGCGGATCCAGAAAGTCACAATGGATGTGCTGGGGAAAAATTGAAATACACATACTCTCTCCGTCCCGTTAGAAGGTTCCCGTGAACGGTTTACGATGCTTGACTGACGATAAAGCAATTTAATCTCTGCTCACACTCTGATTATTTTTAGTAAATAAAACTAACATATTCAGAAACTACATTAAAACTGGGAAAATGGGGCAAATAAGCCCATGTACTAACCAAAAAAGGTCAAATAAGCCCTTATATAGCAGGCTATGTTAGGCCGTCGTCATTTGGGGCGGTTCCCGGTGGAAATATTTGATGCAATTTTTTGAGCATATTATTCATTAAGTCTAGTTTACGCATTCCAAATTTCAGATAAAACTTCAATCGAGAAGGCATTCAAATGAATTCTTGAAGATAACTGCGCAGTTAAAAGCGCAGTTATATTCAAGAATTTATTTGAATGCCTTCCAAATTGAATTGTTAGCTGAAATTTGGTATGAGTAAACTCCTCTTAATGAATAAGATTCTCAAAAAATTTCATAAAAAATTCCACCGAGAACTGCCCCAAATGGCCACGGCCGGACAGAGTCTCCTACATAAGGGCCTATTTGACCTTTTTTGGTTAGTACGTGGGCTTATTTGCCCCTTTTTCCTTAAAACTGCTACAAAGCCTGATAAAAAAATGTAAATTTGATAAAAAATTGATTTCTAAAGTAAAGGATTAAAAATGATTTAAGTTGACCATGAGAATAGTGGACGGGAACCTTCTAATGGGATGGAGGTAATACATAATAATAAGTCAAGTCGTCAACACTTTAAATATTCATCAAAACATCATTTAAGTTGGGCCCTACGCGACTTCAAAGTATAAAATTCATCAATAATAGAATCTACAGTTATATTATTAACAAAATCTCGTTCAATATAGATTATCAATGAATATTCAAGAAAATCATATCCCATTTTGTTACGAATTGTCGTCTTCACATGCTTCATTGCTGAAAATGCTCTTTCCGTAATAGAAGTAGAAACAGGTAGGGTCAAAACCAGACGAATTAGGATGTTTTTACTTGGACTGTAATTTGCTGGTCTGGTCTGGTCTCTTTGTATTTTTATAACTATCCAAGTCTGATCTGGGAGGAATTACAGTCCAAGTAAAAACATCCTTAATCTCGTCAGCATAACATAGATTTCTGATTTCCCACTCTCCGTCAAATTTTGACATAACTCAACAAATGTCAACGCTTGAGATGATGAAACAATATCATGCTTGTAATGAATCAACTCAATCTCAAGTGAGACGATGTCTTGATCAGTGAAATCTACAGGATAAAACTTTTGTGCAAATTACAAATATCCTCACTGGTAAATGAGCTGAAGGAGTTCTTGGGATCTAAAGCAAGACTAAGTTGAAGAAGTTCCATGGATATATCATTAAAGCGCGTGTGTAACTCAGTCAAAGTAAAATCAATCACTTTATTGAAGACATCAAAATGATAATGATGTTCTATTGTTGGTTGGAAACGACACCGCTCAATCTTATATGGATCACCCAAATTTGGAACATCAATATCATTTGAAGAGCAAAAACTCTTGACTTCTTTAAGAAATTCCTCTCAACCAGATGCTCTTAACTCTGAAAGGATAATTTTAGTAGTACCAACGAATGTAATAGCACTCAAAATATCAAGAGTTTTTTTTGAAGAACCTGGCAAACAGCATCAGTTATTCTCAAAAGTTTATGCATCAAATGTAAGACAAACACGAATTCAAAGTTTGCCATTTTCTATAGGTCCCAAGAACTTCAGCTTTAGATCTTCCATTTGGAGAGTTCTCAACCAAATGTTCAAACACTTTGCAAGTTGCGGCATACACATCTATCAAACTCTTCACGGAGATATAGTGAGATCCCCTATGAGTAGACCCCGATCGTTGCAAATTACCAACTTGATTTGCATCACGTCCCAACTCATGCTCCCCAGTTGCTAATAACTTCTCAATTTCACTTCTTTGAGACACGTGCCACTTCGATACCCGCTTTGGTGAAGAAGTGATAATATTAACAATATTATCCAAGTGAGAGAAGAATTCCCAAATTAAGCTAATATCATTAGCCGCAGGAACCAACGCAAGTTGTAAGCGATGTGCAAAACAATGAATGTAATATACATAAGGACAATCTCTACGAAATATCACCAACACTTCTAATGGCAAAGAAACGCTCTGTAAGAATTCCACTGTTGTTCACAAACCTTATAATAATCGTCATCTGCTCCTATTTAGATATATCTTGTGCTTCATCAACAAGAATGCAGACACAACTATTTGCAATTTCTTCACGAACCATTTGGCGAACTCTATTTGCCATTATATTCAACATCTTTTTTTGAATCTCGGGAGCAATGTATTGAGCATTTTTTGGAGTATTCTCAAGTACAACTTCATGAGCTTTGGTATTCATACTCGCAAAAGGTTTCACTAATTCAATAAGGTTTCCCCGATTTGATGATGTTAGAGATTAATCATGGCCTCTAAAGACACAACCTTGAAGTGTTAACCATCGAACAACTATAATAGAAGTTCTCGATCGCAAACGATTTTTCTCCTTTTCTTGTTATGGTTGGGCGTGCAAAACATTCTTAATATGATCAGACGGTTGCCTCAAATTTTCAGCTCTTAATCACAATCATTTGACCATATTAAGAATGTTTTGCACGCCCAATCGGAACAAGAAAAAGAGAAAAATCACTTTTGATTGAGAACTTCTATTATAACTGTTCGATGGTTAGCACTTCAAGGTTGTGCCTTTAGAGGTCATGATGAATCTCTAACATCATCAAATCGGGTAAACTTTATTGAACTAGTGAAAACTTTTGCGACTATTAATACCAAAGTTCATGAAGTTGTACTTGAGAATAGTCCAAAAAATGCTCAATACATTGCTCTCGAGATTCAAAAAAAAATCTTGAATATAATGGCAAATAAAGTTCGTCAAATGGTTCGTGAAGAAATTGCAAATAGTTGTTTTTGCATTCTTATTGATGAAGCACAAAATATATCTAAACAGGAGCAGATGACGATTATTATAAGATTTGTGAACATCAATGGAATTCTTACAGAGCGTTTCTTTGCCATCAGTAGTGTTGGTGACACTATGGCAACAACCTTGAAAGGTAAAATATGTGATGTGCTTGGTCATCATGATTTCCAAGTGTCTAAAATGAGAGGCCATGGTTATGATGGTGAGAGTAATATGAAAGGCTCATGGAATGGTCTTCAGCCATTATTTCGTAGAGATTGTCCTTATGCATATTACATTCATTGTTTTGTACATCGCTTATAACTTGTGTTGGTTTTTGTGGTCAAGGATGTTAGCTTAATTTGGGAATTCTTCTCTCACTTGGATAATATTGTTAATATTATCACTTCTTCACCAAAGCGGGTATCGGAGTTGCACGTGTCTCAAAGAAGTGAAATTGATAAGTTATTAGCAACTGGGGAGCGTGAGTTGGGATGTGATGCAAATCAAGTTGGTAATTTGCAACGATCAGGGTCTACTCGTTGGGGTTCTCATTATAACTCCGTGAAGAGTTTGATAGACATGTATGCCGCAACTTGCAAAGTGTTTGAACATTTGGTTGAGAACTCTCCAAATGGAAGATCTAAAGCTGAAGTTCTTGGGACCTATAGAAAAATGGCAAGCTTTAAATTCGTGTTTGTCTTACACTTGATGCATAAACTTCTGAGAATAACTGATGCTCTTTGTGAGGTTCTTCAAAAAAAACTCTTGATATTTTGAGTGTTATTACATTTGTTAGTACTACTAAAATTATCCTTTCAGTGTTAAGAGCATCTGGTTGAGAGGAATTTCTTAAAGAAGTCAAGAGTTTTTGGTCTTCAAATGATATTGATGTTCCAAATTTGGGTGATCCATATAAGATTGAACGTTCTCGTTTCCAACCAACAATAGAACATCATTATCATTTTGATGTCTTCAATGAAGCAATTGATTTTACTTTGACTGGGTTTCGCACGTACTTTAATGATACATCCATGGAACTTCTTCAACTTAGTCTTGCATTGTATCCCAAGAACTCCTTCAACTCATTTAACAGTGAGGATATTTGTAAATGTGAACAAAAGTTTTATCCAGCAGATTTCACTGATCAAGACATTTTCTCACTTGAGATTGAGTTGATTCACGACAAGCATGATATTGTTTCAACATATCAAGCGTTGACACTTGTCGAGTTATGTCAAAATTTGACGGAGAGTGGGAAATCAAAAATGTATGTTATGCTGACGAGATTAATTCATCTGGATTTGACTCTGCCCGTTTCTACTGCTACTACGGAAAGAACATTTTCAGCAATGAAGCATGTGAAGACGGCACTTCGTAACAAAATGGGAGATGATTTTCTTGAATATTCATCGATGATCTACATTGAACAAGACTTTGTCAATAATATAGATGTAGATTCTATTATTGATGAATTTTATACTTTGAAGTCATGTAGGGCATAACTTAAGTTATGTTTTGATGGATATTTAAAGTGTTGACGACATGACTTATTATTATACATGTGTATTCCAATTTTTCCCCAGCCCACTCCATTGCTAATTTCTGAACCCCTGCCTAACCCTCTTTCGGTACATGTTCGATCTAATCCTTTCTAAAGAAATCTCAAATGCACGACGACTTCAGATTTCTACTAAAATTGTGTACACCATGTACTCCCAATTACTCCGTATATAATAAAACCTGAGTTTGAAATGTATGTATGACCTAATAAGAATGCATTTTGGACAAAATGGATGTATACCTTCAACTTAACTTCCCGAGACTTGCTTCTCTTCTTCCCTACGCATTTACGTTCTTCGCACCCCCACCCCCTCCGGCCTCCGGCCCCCAGTCTAAACGCTTCAGATGAATGATTTTAGGAGACTGGAGCTCTATCCACCGACCACCGCCGGCCACTTTCCTCGGTCTACCGTCCGCCAATCATCCCTCCGTCTTTCCAGAATCACGCTTGTCAACTGTCCGCTGTCTGCGGTGCCGCAGCCGCGCTGCCAAGTGCCCGCGTAGTCCGCCAGCCCCCTCTTTTCTTCCGCAGCCCCACCCACTCTTTTTCTTGTTTTTCGTTGCTGTATTTCTTTACCCTGGGCCCGCCGTATAAGGATAAGGGAGTAGAGTACATAACACTGGGCCCGTTTTTTACGGTGGGGCAGTTCATTTTTTTCCAAACTTATAAATATCATGTTTGTGAAGTTTTTTTGTCTGTTAATCCGGTTCATAGACAATATTTTGTTTGTGTAAAATATTGTCTGTGAGTCGATGTTCACAGACAAAAAAAACTTTTCACAAACATAGGTGTGTAGAAAAGTATGTATAAGAATCTGTACAAAAGCTTTTTTGCATTTTTTTTAGGCTGGACAATTCGGATAAGGCCTTATATGAGATGAAGGTTCATCCACATCTATTTGTTAATTTTTCATATTTCACCCAAACGTTCACCATCAATTAAAAATTACATCAACATCCAACCAACCATCATAAACGGGTTATCGAATGGATTAAGTGAGTAACAAGTGAATATAAATGGTCTAACTTAAAAAACAAAATAAATAAGTTATAAAGAGAAATCATGACAATTAAAAAAGAAAGATTAAGAATTCATTGAATAATAACAAAAAAATTGAGCAACTAAGCATATTACAATCATTCATTCATTGCTGATAAAGAAATAACTGATTGTCAAACAAAATAGACATAAAACCTTTCAAGCTGCCAAATTCTACATCTCTACATCGGAACAACACTATTTTTGCAGTTCAACTATCACTCCTTGAAACTCTCCAATTATCTTTATTTCACCAATTCATATACAAGTGTGTGTGTCTTCTCCAATTCATTTATTATTTTGATTGTTCCATTTAGTTTAGTTTAGTTTTCAATGCCCGAAACCATATCAAACCAAGCAACCAGCAGTTTATTTTTTTTTATTGTATTTAGTCTTGATCTTTTATTGTTCCATTTATTTCAATTGTGGTATGATTTATTTTGATTTAGTTTTTTACTTCTGGAACTTGGGGTTTTCCTTAAATATGACTAAGTTCAAGCCTAATTCCAAAAGGTGATCACTTCAATATGGACAAAATTGTCACTAACAAGGTCATATTTATTATACATCCCTCTCAAATTTTAATGTCAATAATAGTTGTCACAACTAGATTTCATGTCACTAATGGATGAAATTGTCACTATAAAACATGACACTATGAGCGTCGTAAAAATTTCTGGTAACTTTTCCCGATGATTTTTAATATACAGAAAAACAAAAACAAAAAAAGACATCAAAAAATTAGGCAACTTTTGCAGTGCGGTTTCGAGTTACTTTTTCAACGGCGGGTCTGGGAGGCTGAAAATTGATATAAATTACAATGAAAAAAGATGAATTATTTTAATAATAGTCATATTTTAAAAAAGAAAAAAGAAAAAGTATATTTTACAAAGCTATAGGTGTATGAACTTTACAACAAGATCATCTCATTTTGTCGATTAAATTTACTTTAGTATTAACTAAATTGATCTCATAAAATATTTTGTGTAATTTATTAAAACATAAATTCTGTCTGATTTGATTTAAATTATTTATTTAACTACTTTCTTATCTAAGCTGATGTGTTTGAGTTTGTTAAAACTTAATTTGACTTGATTTAATTTACTTTGACAATCTAATACGGAGTATGATAAAATCTAAGTTTAAGCGAAATATAATACTCCCTCCGGTCCCGGATCAAATTCACACTTTTCTTTTTGGATAGGTCAAAAATAAACTTCACACTTCTTCTCCCTTCTTTATTTGGCAAATTCTCTACATCAAAAAAGTGCAAAACAGTGCCAAACAGTGCAAAACAGTGTCAAACAATGCCAAATAGTGTCACAATAGTGTACTCTACAGTAAAGTCAAATTTATTTCCTTAATTTGTGTGAAGTCAAAGTGTGAATTTGATTCGGGACCGGAGGAAGTAACATTCTAAGGTATAACAAAAACTTTTGGAATTTTTCAAATTTAAGATAACAAGTTAATGTGGTAATAGACACAAAAAGGTGGTTGTAACTATTTTATGTTTTTAACATAGCAAATAGCTTTGTGGCGCTAACGAGAGTGAAATCCTATCCGTCAATCCGCGTGCTTTTCTCTAGAGGTGGACTCGGGCCGGGTGGCCCGACCCGGAACCGGCCCGGGATCGGTACTGTTCCGGCCCAGCCTGGCCCGGTGGCCCGGCCAGGGACCGGTCCGGGTAGGTCCGACCCGGTGGTTTTACGGTGCGGGCTCGGGTCCGTCAAATGATGAGCCGGCCCGGCCCGACTGGCCCTGGTTCCGGGCATTTTATTTTTTTTTTGCTTTTTTCAATTTATTTTATTTTTCAGGGTTGGGCTGGGTGTTTTGGACCATTTGGGGTGGTGGGGTGGGGGGGTATTAGGGGATTAATTAGAAAAAAAATAGGAAGTGGCCCGAGGCCCGACACGGACCCGGATCAGACCCGGTGGCTACCCGGGCTGGTCCCGAGCCCAACTATTCTGAACCGGTGGCCCGCCCGGGCCTAGGCCCGACCCGGACCCAGCCCGGCCCGAGTCCACCCATACTTCTCTCCTCTCATCTCTAATATCCTTTCAAATAAAAAAGTATTTATTCAATTTTTATAATTTATTATATATATTTCTCTCCTAGCGATGTCCAAACTCCAAAGGTGTATCAAATTTTCCTTATTGGTGTTATCAATCTAGTGTTAAATTTTCATTACACATGATAGCAAAACTCCTCTCCGCAGTCTGCACTGAGGCAGTGAGGCGGATGCCTGAGAAAGAGCCGCAAAAGGACAACACAAACACTACCATAGAACAAACAAATTAAATCCTATCCATACCAAAAGACCAGAAAATGCCACCCTAAAGAACTCCGATGAAGCTAGACTAGGGATGGACTAAACCGAGCCGGCCCGTTACATTTTGGGCCCGGACCAGACCGGGACCGGTTGGCCGGTTCCGGGCTTTTAGCCCGTTTGGGCAGGACAGGCGGGCCGGGCTCGGGCCCAACTTTTGGTGAACCGGCCCGGGCGGTTCGGGCCGGCCTTGATTCAAATTTTTTTTTGTTTTTTCAATTTTTTTTGCTTTTCTAGGTTAGGGTTGGGTGTTTTGGGGGGGTTTGGGGGTGGGGGTGAGGGGGGTCAGGTGTTAATTAGAAACCAAAAAAAATTGAATTTGACCCGGGCCCGGCCCGGCCCGGCCCAGCCCGGTTAGGCCCGGACCCGATATCAACCCGGGCCGGTTCCGGGCCCAACATTTTGCAAAAAAGCCTGCCGGGGCCCGGCCCAGCCCAGGTCCATCCCTAAGCTAGACTAAACAATGAGCCCAGCGAAATAAAATATGAACTATGAAGTAGACCGCAACCTCTCCAACTGGCAACACTCAATCATGCTTCCATTTGCTAAAGTGCTAAACTCACCCCCACCTAGGTTGTTGTCTGCAACGTCTCACCCACCCGCTGCCTCTATCGTTCACAACCTTGCTCATCGGCCATGTACAAGTGTACAACAGCGGCACACATTCCTTGCTGCTGCTAGGGTTATTTTGATAAAGTTGTTTTCTTCATGAATTAAAAAGCAAAGTTATTGATTTGTTCAACATCATCATCATTTGTCACAAAGTTGTTTTCTTCATGAATTAAAAAGCAAAGTTATTGATTTGTTCAACATCATCATCATTTGTCACAAAGTTGTTTTCTTCATGAATTAAAAAGCAAAGTTATTGATTTGTTCACCATCATCATCATTACCCCAGGGCCCAGACCCCAATGCTGCAAAAGCTCCCACCTACAATGATGTAAGGGGGTCGGATGTATGCAATCTATGCAGAGAGACTGTTTCTGCAAAGTTGTTGATTTGAACAAATAATCATTTCTGGTTACCTTGTATAAATAATTGTAGTTTATTATATTATATGCGCTTTTGGACCCCTAAATATATATAATTCAAACAGCAGAAAAATCAGTAGATGCTGGTCTTAAGAACTAGTTCAGTTCCTTTGCCCGACCGGTTCTGGTCCAGTTTTAGAACCATGTCCAGCCCTCATCACACAGCCCCATATTTGGGAAAGAACTCTTCTTAAACTTCGATCATCATGACTTCCTGAGCAAGTGAGAAAGATGACATAAATACTGATAGATTACAGAGAAAAAAAACTACAATTAAAATCAGTTGCAAAATTCTAACTAGCCTGAGAAAGATTTGATTCCCTAATAGGCTACTCGTAGTATATGTGAAACAACATTTTTACAAACCCGCATTACTGAAGGTTCATAATGACTGCAACAAACTTCATTAATACGGCAACTGCATTCACGTTGTAGGAAAAATTGGATTATGATGTGCCAAGTCAGTAACTCGATAGTAGCCCTTTGGCTTTGCATGCACTTCAACGCTCCTAATCTTTAAAGCTAACGCTGCTTTAGTGAGCTCCAAACCTGTACCGTGCAAACAATCATGGTTCAAAAAGTACACTTGGGATGTATTTAATTGGAGTGAAATTTCCTGGTTTGATCAGTATAAGTCTAGTTTGAACTGGTTAGGTAGACGTTTGTCCCATGTGTATTTTACAACTGTCAAAGTCTGATCTACTACTGAAACCAGTCCAATTTAAAGCGTCCTTAAAGAACAAATAAAAACACATGCGTATACGTATATGCAGACATCAGTTAACACATGCGCAAATTTGGAAAAGTTGCATAGCCTAAATGTGGATTTAGGCTATGCATTGAGTAAATATGGAAGAGGTAAATATGGATCGAGTATTCAAAATGTTTTTTTTTTCTCAAAAGTTCACGGAAAATATGATCTAAAAGATTGAAGTGTTATTATTTATATTCATGACGGGCACGGAAAATATGATCTAAAAGATTGAAGTGTTATTATTTATATTCATGACGGGCACTTGAGCCAAAAAGAAAAACAAAAGCTAATGCACTACTTTTTATAATGCTAACTGTTTCAGTTAAAGCAGTCAAACAATTGTGATTCTATTGAAAACTAACTTCTTTATAAAAACATGCAAATAAACACAATCACATTGAGATGATGCTGTGGTTTTTCCGGTTAAATGCACCATAAGAAAAGCCAGTTGAGGTCATGTACCTTGATCTAAGATTTGACTCATATGATTTTGTTTCTTATCTCTTCAAGCTTTTTCAAAATTTCCCCTGGGGTTCTATCGAGCTCATCTGCAATTTTGCGCTGCAAGTCCATTGGCAAAGTTGGAAACTGTTCACACAAGTCTCCATCAATAACATCCTGCAAAATAAGACCAGCCCTATTCATCAATAAAAAAAACAATGATCCATAGATTATACCGACTGTGTGGGTATATTTCTATAAACAGTTAAACACTATGAACAAAGAAACAGATTACCCTCCC